TTGCCTCGGGGTAGACCCTAGGGAAGGAGTTGCAGAAAATGACAGCAGCCTTCTGTCAGGAAGCATCACCAGCTCCGGGCTGTCAGAGTTTGTTGCTGTTCTCTCTCGTGTGATAGAGGCAGGACGTCTTCTACTTGTAGAAAATGAGCGTGGGCAGCTTTTCCATCAGTAGCAGTGCGAGTGCAGGGCTGGTAGCGTGAGGTTGGCTCTTTTGTCTGTGCTTGTGAGGAAGCTGAGGTAGTGTTTGAGGAAGAGGTTTGACTGAACGGCTGCTTCCTGAAGCAACACAACCCTTTTCTGGCCAGACGGCCCTCCCTGCTGTAGTCTTCACCCCTCCTGCCACCCCCCTGCCGGGGTCCGAGTTGCTAAACTGCCTCGGAGCACAAATTCTTCTGCCCTTGGTTCAGGATGAGGCTGATCACCTCTGTTGGCAGGTTCCTACCCCCAGGCAAGTCGCTGTGAAAGGGGGTTTAAGACGGAGTGGTTTTGCCAGCGCGTGCAGGAAGGCTGTGGCTCTCAGCTTGGCAAAGAGGCTCCGATTCTCCGCTTGCTGCATTTCAGAGGTTTGCAGTTTGGAGGCCTGGGGGGGCTCAGGTCTCGGGTGGGATGGGAGTACGTCGCAGTGCCTGACCTGGGAGGCTTCTTTGGTTGCTGTGTGCCTCAGCCAGCCCTGCTTTGTGGTGGGAACTGTGAATGAATGCGGGGATCTGCTGGCTCAGCAGACAGGTTCTCCACTGGCAAGTTTGCGTGGCCCCTTGTTTCCCCAAAAAGGGGGGGCTTGCAAAGGTGCTGCTGGTTCCCACGCAGCTGCCGTAATGGCCCGTAGCTGCTGTGGTAGGTGAAACGGCGTCTTCAGGGAGTGGAGACTGGGAAGGGCAAAGGGAAAGGGGAAAAAGGGAAGCCTCTGCTGGAGGCAAGCTCAGCGACTGGGCTGGACTGTTCCACCCGTTTCTCCACTGCTGCACATGTGCTTTCCTGGAGTTCTCCTGCCTTACGCAGCTGATGGGCAGCTGTCAGTCAAAAGGATTTCTGCCCTTCTTTGAAGTGGATTTTAGTTACAGCATTAAAAACAAACTAAGTCTTCCAGACAAACGGAAATCGTGGAGAGCTACACAAGAATCTACTGTTAATTCATGGCGAGAAAAGTCCCTTGCTGGAGGAGGTTCTTGCCGGGCAGGGCCTTGTGCTAGCTGGAGGGTGGTTTGCTGCTGAAGAACTTCGTTACGTATTCAGAGAGGAGCAAAGCGGCTCCAACTGGAGCTCCTGCTCCCCGTGAAAGGCACGGCTAATGAGTCAGACTGGAGGCAGAACATCCTTTGGTGTTTTCTGACGACTTTGTACAAGTTTGGTTTAAGGCACAAGGTGTACTCGGCCAGTCTGGCAGGCCTGCTTCGCCCTTCCCGTCTCGGGCACGGAGTGAGGAGATGGCCTGTGAACGCTGCCTGTAGCTCGTGTTTAATGATCCAGTGGAATCACAACAGTTATGGAAAACTTTCCTCATACCAGCTGGCAGGTGCTTTCTGAGCGTTGGGCTGACCTGGTGTCCAGCTGACCAGCTAAATGACTCAGAGCTGCAGTTGTGGCAGTTTCTCCCTCCTGAAACACCGCTGCATCCCTCCCCCTGCCTCAGAGCTCCTTCCCAGGTGGGTTTGTGATACCTTTTGGTGAGTTCTGCAGCAGTTGCTCTCTTCCAGGGACAAATGCTTCTTGTCTCTGTACTGAATAATCCAGGGCTGCGTCGTATGTTTTGCTTAATGACGCTCAAACCCAGCCACACTTCTCTTCGTTCTGCCTGGTATTTCTGTATCCCTCTCACTGTAGAGTCCAGTTCCTCTAATTGCCACAAAGAACATCTTGCTCAGAACACACTTTCTTCCTTTTTTAAGAGCTTCAGGTCAGAATAAATCTCTTTGATGAAATGCAAGGCCACTTGTGATGCTTCCTGGCGGAATTCAGAAATACTCAGAGGGAGAAATAGAAGCACCGACACTTTCTTAAATCCATCCTGCTTTGGGTTTGGGTTATTTGCCTGCCTCTGTACCCTGTGTGGTGCAGATGTGTTTGAGCCAGGTTACCTGGGATGTGCATAGCTGAAAGTTCTCCTCAGCGTCCCCTCAATTGCAGGACGGGTGGGGCTGAGGACTGCTGGCTTACTGGAGCTTTTTGCTCTTTTCTTGTTCGAAAGACCCATCAGGGAAAAAAAAAAAAAAAAGAAATTTCTTATTGTATTGCTGTGGTCCTTCGTGACAAGAGAAATGTGATCATGAAGAGTGGGGACAAATTCCCTAGAAACGTCTGGATTCTGGTAGAGGGTCCTTGGTGTCAGTTCCATCCCAGAAAGATGACCCTCTGGGCTGCTTTTTTTTTTATCGTAGGTGGGCCAAAGTTGAAAGCTTGCCTCTAACGCGTATCTCAGCTCAATGCACAGGAGAAGTGGTCTCAGTAGTTGAGAGCACGCAGGGAACTGCTCCAGTGAAAACAAACAATGCTGAAATTATGGCAGGAAACTATGACTCTGAGGTCAAACTTGAGACTGCTACGAATAGCAGGGTCTAGCAATTCTGAAGCCATTAATTGGTGAGAATTGGCTGCAGAACTGGGGCTGTGTCACCAGGTAGAAGTGACTATAATTGGGCTTAAAATCAGCAGCAGTTGCCAGTTAAACTGACCTAATAAGCTGAAAGAGACTTGCAAATAAACTGAGAAGTATGTGCATAACACAGTCAAAACTCCTGCCTTGGGAAGGCTCCAGACTTTGAGTAAACAGCAACTTGCTCCTTCCCCTACTGCTCTCCCTTATTACTGAGCAGATCTAAAACTTGCCTCCTGCTGACACTGTCCCTACCCACTGCATCAAGCAGAACCACAGAGAACCAGCAATTTCACTTCTTTAACATATGCAGATTATTGTACCACCGAGGTGTCCTGTGCTGCGAAGGAAATTGTTAAATATCTGCTTTATGCTGAGCGTTGCTGGAGCGAGTGGGAAGGCTTGAAGGATGACTTAATTAAGCATTCTCCTTGCTAAGCAGAGGAAGGAGAAAAGCTTTAGTAAGGTGGTTGGAGTTTTTTTGTTTTCCCTCCAGCTCTCTCCTCTCCCAGCATCTTTCTTTTTTCTTTTTTTCTTTTTTTCAGAGGAGTTCTGCAGTTCCTGCCTGCAGTAGTACCTGTAATATCTCTCTGGAAGATTGGGGTGGGCTTTGTTGTCTTCTAGAAACTGTCAGTGGAGAAAAGACTGCGCTACCTCTGCTTAGGGATGCCGTGCCGTGCCTGCTTCCCAGCCAGCTGACTGGACACGGGTCCCTGGTTTGGACGTGCTAGGGGTGGCTTTGCCCAGACGGGGCGGTCCAGCCTGGGCTTAGAAGCAAAAAAAAATCATGTGAAATGGAAAAAGAGGGAGACTCCTGTGATATCTCAGTGCTCTACGGTCCCCATCCTCCAAGCCGTGGGTGAAGTGATGGTTCTCCAGCCTCGTCAGGGCGCTGCCTTGGGGCGCAGCCCGGGGCCATCCTCTCGAAGTCTTAGTGAGGGTCTAAAGCCCTGCCCGTGAGGCAGGAGCAGGTTCCTGGCTGCCTTTCTCCTCCAGCTCCTGGCTGCCTGCCTGAGGGCCACCCAGCACACTCACGGGGGAAGGGACAGGCTGAGCCCCCAGGGAATACCCCTGGGCAGGCTTTTATTCCTCAGGGGCTTTTGCCAGCAGCTGGAAGATAAAATAAGCTGCTGTTACGAATCGGTAGAGAGTGAAAAAGATGCTGAGCTCTTTTCGTTCCCATGATAATACTGGGTTTATCCTGCAGGTAGAGTTTAAAGAGAGTGGTCTGTGTGGAAGATGTGAATTTCTTTATGAAGAAACTTTTCGTTTCACAGAGCGTTCAGAGTTACTGGCCTTCGCTTCCAGCGGCAAGGAGACGCGGGGTTGTGTTCAGGTTTTCTCTGAAATACCGTTTTTAAAAGTCACCATTCTCCCCCCCCCGGTGTTTGGTGTTTCGGTTGTCATAAGCTGTATGAGATGTAAGTAAAAATGTTTGGTTACCTTGATGGGTAAAAAAAAAAGGCAAATTGGATAAACCTCCACCCCAGTAGGTAGTGACCAAACTGATTTTGGACGGCAGCCTGTGACTCGCGTGCCTGGGATCAGGTTATGGCTTAGCCTTGGTGGTAGCTGAGGCACAGAAGCCCCCAGTGCTGCTTTTGGCCCTTGTGGCATTAGATGGCGGGAGGCAGCTCTCCCTGGACTCTTGCCACCCCAGGCAGAACTGGCCACCAGTCCTGCTGGTCTGGGGTGCTCCAGGCTTTCTGCACTAGCAGAAGAAACGCCTTTATCCTATCGATTTCTCTTA